GAGACTCTCAGACCACAAGCCCCAAGCGTGGATTATAGCTGCCCTATCATCAAACTTCTAGGTCTCCACTGTGAGGTCTCCCACTGAGGCTTGGTACAGTTGGTGGAGTCATAAGCCCAGGATGCCTGAAGGGCACAGGGAGAGAGAACTACATTTACCAGTAGTAGGGATGATGGGGAGACTGAGTCTCACATAATTTGGACATACTACCAGGAAGGACTCATCTTTGGAGAAGGACTTGATAAAGTAGAGCCTCAGCTAAATAAGAGGAAGACATTTCCTTATATGCGATGGAGTGACAGGGTAGCTACAAGAATGGGCTCAAACATAGCAATGATGGTGAAGATGGCACAGAATGAGTAATGGTTAGTCACAACTCACTCAAGGGTACCTAACAACAATAGGAATGGTCTGACTCACAGTCACATATGCAAACAAAGTCGAGTAATCAGTCAGTTTGGCATATGGTGTGAAGAGCGATATAATTTTTGAAACACTAGTCAGCTTTAATAGGACTATAAAGTCTAGAACAAGGGAGCTGATAGCTGGAAAGGCTATGTCTCTATTATCATAGACAGAGTTAGGGACCGTGTAAAAAGGGAATTACAAACCAGAGCAATTCAGAAGGGAGGAATCAGGATGTCAAGGGTATTGAGAAAGTCAATGGGTCAGGGGTTTTGAGGGAGGAGAAACTCAAACACAATGACTGTTACCTTCAGTTTACTGATAGGTAATATTTGAAATAATGAAGGGCTATTTGGTGAAAAGAGAGTCCCCAGAGTCCCCAGCTAGCATCAATGGGTAAAGTATTCAACTGCTAACTCTCCTGTGAGACATTCTCACCCCCAGGATCATTCCGAAATATATATTTGAAGCTGTGATGATTCTCAGCTGCCTGAAACCAAGGTCAGTTAGGTCCACTTGGGCTCCAGGCCTGATGTCCAATCCAGACTTTTGCCTTCAACAATGAGGAAAATGAGACCCAGAGAGGTTAAAGAACCAACATGAGTAGTCAGCACTCCTAATCTTTTCCTCTCTGATGCCTGGCCTCACGAAAATAGGTGATCAGCACTAGCTACCTTTCCACCCCCTCTCCTTGAAGTCACTAGAAGTTTTTATTTTTAGGACACACTTAACTCTAAGCAGGTGGTCCTGAGGTAGAAGTGTACTGTGAAAAAAACACTCCCTGAACGAAAATGGTAGTCAGAAATAGAACCTGGGGACGGGGTGGGGAGGGGGAGGGAAGGGCCTATCTGAAACCCAAACTGTTGTCCTCTTTATGTCTCAGGAGACAGGGCAGCTGGTAAGGCGCAGCTCCCTAGGCTGGCAGGAGGCAACCTTCAACTTAGGGCCTGCGGGGAGCTGCTGTTCTTAGGGGCCTGTGAGTTGGTTCTGACCAACAGCAAGACTATGCACAACAGAGAGAGGCACTGCCTGGTTCTGCACGTCCTCACAATTCTGCCTGTGCTTGAACCTATTATTCCAGCCACGGTGTCCATCCATCTCCATGAGGGTCTTCCTCTTCTTCACTGCCCCTCTGTTTTACCCAGCGTGAGGTCCTTCTCCAGGACTAGTCTCCCCTGATCACAAAGTAGGTGAGATGAAGTCCACCCATCCGTGCCTCTAAGAAGCATTCTGGCTGTACTTCTCCCAAGGAAGGTTTGTTTGTCCTTTTGGCAGACTGTACTGCTGTCAATATTCTTCACCTCTTCACCGGCACCATAGTTCAAATGCATTGATTCTTCTTTGTCCTTCTTTATCCAATGTCCACCTTTCACATGCATATGAAGCAATTGAAAATACAATGGTTTGGATCTGGCAAGGCTTAGTCCTTAAAATAACATCCTTACTTTTCAGCACTTTAAAGAGGTCTTGTGCCACAGATTTACTCAGTGCAATACACCCTTTGATCTCTTGGCTGCTGCTTCCACGAGCATTGATTGTGGACCCAAGCAAGATAAACTCCTTGACAACTTCCACCTTTTCTCCATTTATCACGATGCTACCTATTGATCCAGTTGTGAAGATTTTGGTCATCTTGACATTAAGTTGTAATCTATACTGAAGGCTGCAGTCCTTGATTGTCATCAGCAAGAGCTTCAAATCCTGCCTTTCAGCAAGCAAGGTTGTGTTATCTGTATATCACAAGTTGTGGTTAACCCTTTGTCCAAATCTGATGCACATTCTTCTTCCTATGAACTAGCTTCTCTGATGTCTTGCTCAGCAGACTGAATAAGCATGGTGAGAAGATACAACCCTGAGACACACCTTTTGAGATTTTAAACCATGCAGTATGCCCTTGTTTTGTTGGCACAACTGCCTCTTGACCCATGTGCAGGTTTGCCATGAGCACAATGAAATATTCTGGAATTCTCATTCTTGTCAAGGATATCCATAGTTTGCTATGATCCACACCGCCAAATTCTTTTGCATAGTCAATAAAGCACAGGTAAACCTCTTTTGGGTATTTTCTGTTTTTACCCAAGATCCATCTGACACCAGCAATGGTACCCCTTGTTCCACATCCTGGCCTTCTGCTCACTTTGGCCGTGCGACCATAACCCTTCAAGCATTAGGCTCCTTGTCTGTGAAAAGGAATTAGACTAAGTATTCCCTAAGATTCCTCCATCTGTGAGATGCTCTGGCCCTGGGCTTCCATGAGGAGGACACCATGACATGCTTTTTGATTCTAGTGCAGCCCCAAGTGTCCAGAGAAGCACTTGGGGACTGGATGGACATGAAGGAAGTTCTCTTCATCCTGGGCCACCAAATTTTGTTCTGTGTGCACTAATATTGTATTCTTTCTCATTATTTGCCTTCCTCTTCCTCCCATTCTCCTTTTGAGCCTTAGGGGACTACAGGAAGGGGAAGGGGGTGGTAACCAATTGGTAAGGGAGGTGACGTAGAGGAGGAGCTGTTATCCCTTCCTATTATGTAGAATATTTCAAGGCTACCTCTTCTGGTACCAGGAACCTCTGAGTCTTGGCCAGCGTAAAAGTGGATCCTGACTAAGCTCCCTCTAGCCCCAAAGGCAGGTTGGCTGGAGGGATATTCCCTTCCCTCTTAACTTTCTGGGTCACGTTTCTAGGAAGCTATCCAAAGAAATCTTATAAAACCTACTGTGCGTTGGGGTTTGTGCCTTGCACAGAGATGGAGCTCGCTAAGTTCTTCTTGACGAAAGGAGTAGCTGAGTGAGGCTCGCGTGACCTGCCCATGTAGTTCCTGATCGAACGTAAGACTTGGTGTCACATGTTGGGGGTGGGAAAGTCTTCATCAGAAAGAGAACTTCGCCCAGGTCACCTTTGAGCAGCTAAAGAGGGAAGTTGATTGTTCATAGACTCATTTCCCCAGGCTATTGGGAAAAGGGAAGAAAACTGGTTAGGTAGGGCTCACCAGTTCTACCTTCCTCTGAACCCCCATTTGGAAAATGATACACAGCTACTTGCGTCTTTCATGGTCGCTCTTCCCACCCTGTAGATGCAATGAAGGGTGAGCATCTTGCTCACCTAGGCGCGTGTTGGCAATGTGTCTTCCAGTCACACACCCATTTCAATCTAACAAGGAGCTGTGAATTTTGTGGCTTTTTTTTTTTTTTGGCACCCTTACACATTCTCTTGGCATTTTCCTGAAACCGTATATGTAGGAGGTAGATGTGGGGAGAGAGTAAAAGCAGTTACCGCCCAGGACTCAAATGCGTACACACGTGTTAAAGCCACATCCTTGCAGGTTTACCATCTTCCTGCCTTAAATATCTCCCCCAATCCCAATGCACCAATGCGATGACTTGAAGGTTTCCCTAATTCCAGGGAGGGTCCCCACTGGGGACAAGAGGTACTCTAGTGAGAGAATCAATGCTTTAAGTGATGAGTTTGAGAATAAATTTAATTTAAAATAACATTTATTGTATCTGTAAAATGCACTGAAGCTAATGTGATACCCCTGAGATGGCCCAAGAGAGAGCAGTTGAACATCTATTCTGGCCTTAGTCTTAAGAAAGTAGAGAGAGTCGCCTTTTGAAAAATAAGAATATTTAACAAGATGATTTAATAGAGGCTCAAGGGATCCTGAGTGTATATGCATTTATGACAGATAAATCATATGGGAAGGGGGAGGTATTTTAAAACGAGAAGCAGCTACATTTAGCAGAGAGCTAGCAGCAACCTCAAAGCTGTGGCACTAGCAGAGCAGTCTGTGCTTAGGGGGAGGACATGAGGAGGAAACTAAGCTCCTAATGAGGCCCAAGGCTTTGGAATTGACACCTGGACCCTTAAGGGGGCTGGAGAGAAGGAGTGCGGGAAAGGGTTAAAACTGGTAGACCCAAGGCAAATATCTGGAACCTTCCAACTTAGCCACAGTGCAAAGAGTCCAAGTTTCAGAGGTGCAGTGAGATTGGGTCAATCCTCAAATCATCACTAATTTAGTGTCCTAGGAAAAGCGATTTCATTTTATGGCATAAGGACCAAAATCTCTAATGATCAAAATTGCTTAAATTATTCAACATAATCTTTGTGATAAATGTATGGTACAAAGTAAACTCTAATTTTTCATCAGGGTTTTAAGAATTAGGAAACAAACTAAAATATATTATTGATAATAATTAACTAATAAATATTGGACATGCCCTGATGGTATAATGAGTTATATTTTAGGCTGCTAACCACGAGGTCAGCAGTTCATGCACCAGCTACACGGCAGCAGAAAGCTGAGGGTCCTCGACTCTCATAAAGATGTCAGGCTTGCAAACCCAGAAGGGCAGTTCTATCTTGTCCAACGGTCGCTATGCGTCACTATTGACTTGATGGGAATTAGCTTAGTTTTTTTGTTTGGGGATGTTTTTGTGTCTGTTTTTTTTTATTTTTTAAATTATTTCTTAGGGAACTCTTGTTGAGGTAGTTAAGCTTTAACAGAGATCAAAAAAATAAATTTCCAATGAAGCAATTTTTGTTCCCTGGATCAGGCAATGTGGAAATCTATCTTTTACAGGGAAAAGTACAAACAACATGAAGTATTATTACGGTAAGCAATTAAGTGGTGAAACGAAATAGGGTCTGGGTGCTTGGATCCATTAGGCCCAGAAAGTCCAGTGCCTGAGGCCCATAAAACCTTTAACTGAATTTATTTTACAACCTGTAGAAAATGAGATAGAATAATGTCTATATGATAATTAACCCAGCATGGATTATATTTGTCTTTATACCAACACACTTATAAAATGTAATTTTTAATATTTTGTGTTGAGGAGGGTGCTGAAGTAAACAGAAGTGCTTTCCACGGTATTTTGGTAAAGTTCCTTTAAAAAATTTCAATCTGACACATTATGTGAGGGTTTGCTCATTTACAGTTTTCCCTTAAATCTGCTTTCTTTTTCCCCTAGGTTCCTTGCTATCAGAAGATTTAGGTTTTGGTTTTAGTTCTGGTGCTATTTCTTGAAGAAACAACTTCAATCTCCTCTATTTCATTTTCTCACCTATAAACTTTATAGATGATTTACATCCCCAGTGCCCAGCATAGAACCTACCCAAAACAACAAAAATCCACTACCATTGTCAATTCTGACTCACAGTAACTCTATATACATATAGGGTTTCTTAGACTGTGAATCTTTATGTGAGTAAACAACCTCATCTTTCTCTTGTGGATTGGCTGCTGGGTTCGAACAACCAACCTTTCAGTTAGCAGCCCAGTACCCAAGCCACAGAACCACCAGGGCTCTGTCCTATAGTCCAGGGTAAATTAGTCTGTGCAATGTTGTTGTGGAAATAGCACAGACTTTGGAGGGTGCCATTATGGGTTCTGCAATTTACTGCTGTGGGTAAGTCAATTAGCCTCATTGCTCCTGATCTCTAAAATAGGGACATAAAAACATTCTTCCTCTAAGAGTTGTTAAGAGCGCTACATGATACTACAGTGGGTGCTGCCCCAAAGATCCAACAGTTTGAAGTTAGCAGGTGGTCTGCGGAGAAAGGTGCAGTAGTCTGCTTCTGTAAAGATGTACACTCTTAGAAACTCCAGGCGGGCGATTGCACTCTGTCCTGTAGAGTCATTATGAACCAGAACCTGCTTGAAGGCAGTGGGAGTTTTGTGTTGTGTTGTTGTGTTTTTACTTTATCTTATTTTATTTGATCACAACATAGCTTGGCCATATTTCAGAACTTCTTATCATTGATCTTTTTTACTTCCCACTCAAGGAAGCATACTGGAATGCAAGTGAGTCAGAATTCATCTGGAAATAACCTTGAATTTATTCTAACCTTTGTTAAAATGGATATGTCATCCTCAAACTTCTAAGCTATTTCTACTATTGTTGTTGTTTCCATGCAGAGTGACCCCATACAAACTAGAACCACTACATAGGGTTTTCTAGCTTGCAATCTTTAGCAGAACAGATTGCCAAGTTTTTCTCCTAAGTGGGCTAGAAGAGCCAACTTTTCAGTTAGTGTTACTCAATACCACCAAATCCATTCTTATTCGTAGCAACCCTATGAGATAGGGTAGAACTGCCCCCTTTGGGTTTCTTGGACTGTAACTTTTTATGGGAGTAGGAAGTCTTATTTACTCCCATTGATTAGCATTAGAAATCTCTATCTCACCTCCCAAGTTCCTGATCCCAGAATGAGAACCAGTGCCCCATGACAGGTAGATTTCAATTGTCTTAATTTTCATCAGAATCATCTCTCCTCTCACGAGGCAGTTCTGCTCTGCCCCACAGGGTTCCTATGAGTCAACTTTGGCTTGATGGCAGTGGAAGTGATGTCCCAGGGGTATGATTGATAATGTTTTCTAACATAAAATGACAACTATGTCTCTAAGGTGAACCAGAGACATATATGAACCATATATGCATGAATGGACTTTGGGATTGTATTTAATTCTAGCCCAAATCTAAGAACAATTAGTTCTTATGACATGATCCTGCTTGATGCTCACCCTCATGAAGATATCACTGAAAATGTGGGTGCTACAGCAAAGTGTGGTGAAGAAACTAGATGGTGCCTGGCTATCAGAAAGAATAGCATCTGGGTCTTAAAGGCTTGACAGCAGCCATCTAAGTGAGATGGTAACTAAGTCCACATGGAAGAAGCACACCAGCCTGTGTGATTCATGGATTGTAAATAATATAATCCAAATATAAAGGAGAGAATGGTATCAGATCTTGAATTGTGAAGACCTGATTTGTAGAAGGCTATGGATGACAATGGAAACCCAAAATCCATTGGCAGGGTACACATATGGATTAAGTCTTCAATGAATCTCCACTAATCATAGCTGAGGGATATGAATAGCCTTGTTATCAGATAGAGAGCATTGTAAAGTCAATTATGGCAGACATTGTTAGATTAGAAAGTAATGTCTTGTCTTTTGATCTGTCTTTTCACCCATTTTAAAGCTGTTTCCATTTATTGCGGGGGGGGGGGGGGCAGGGCGGGATGAAGAAGAAATACATGTGGATTAAACTTCTGGTGAACCTCCTCTGACCATGGACCAGGGATGTGAATAGCCTTACTAACATGCAGAATGCACTGGAAAGTGGATGGTTGCAGCTGCAGTTAGGTTAAAATTTCACATCTAGTCATTTGATATCGCTTATGATTCATTTAAATGTGTTCTAGTTGTTTTGTTTTGTTTTCTGTATGTGAAATGCAGGATAGCAAAATCTATGGAGACAGTAACTGGATTAATGGTTCATTAGGAGTGTGACAGGGCAGCTTGGGGGGGGAAATCAGGAGCTAATAACAATGGGTTCAAGAGCAAAGAAAATGTTCTAAAACTGATTGTGGTGATGATCATACAACTCTTTTTGATGTGACTGAACTATTGAATTGTATGATATGTGAATTATAAGGCAACAACTGTTGAAAAATCCAAGCTCTAAAAAATAATTTCTGGACTAAAAGAAAAGAATCAATTCTTCTATGGACAATAGAGAAGAGGGTGAAGGGAGATGTCGGACAGTGTAAGATATGACAAAATAATAACAATTTATAAATTATCAAGGGTTCATGAGGGAGAGGGGAGTGGAGAGGGAGGGGGGAAATGAGGAGCTGATACCAAGGGCTCAAGTAGAAAGCAAATGTTTTGAGAATGATGAGGGCAACAAATGTACAAATGTGCTTGACACAATAGATGGATGTATGGATTGTGATAAGAGTTGTAGGAGCCCCAATAAAATGATTTTAAAAAAAGAATCAGCACTTCTAGAAGCAATGAGATCTTCAGTTGTTAATGTCAAGGTCAGGAGTTCAAATCCACTAGCAGCTTCTCAGGAGAAAGATGAAGCTGTCTGTTTCCTTAAGAATTTATAGTCTCCAAATCCCTAAAGAACAGTTCTACTCTATCCTGTAAGGTTTTTATGGGTCAGATTTGACTCAATGGCAGTGGGCTTTTAAGGGGCCTTGGGAAGTAGAAGAAATAACTAAAAGGCAAAAGACATTTATACAGGTCTAAATACAGGCATGCACATATGTAAATATATATATAAGATAGGGAAATAGATCTATGTGCATATGTTTATATGTTAAGTATTGAGGTAGCAGATGGACATTGACTTCTACTGAAGTCCTCCCACAATGAAAGAACACTTTGTTCTAATAAACCAGCATTCTGTGATGCTCACCTTCCTGACACAATCCCTGAAGACAAAATGGGTTCTGAAGACAAAATGGGTGCATAAGCAAATGTGGTGAAGAAAGCTGATGGTGCCCAGCTATAGAAAGATATAGCATCTGGGGTTTTAAAGGCAAAGTCCACATGGAAGAAGCACACTAGGCTGTGTGATCATGACCCAATGGGTAGGATCAAAGACCCAAACCAAAAAATCATATCAATGTGAATGAGGAGGAGTGCGGAGTGGAGACCCAAAGCCCATCTATAGAAAATTGGACATCCCCTTACTAAAGGGTCACAAGGAGAAGACAAGCCAGTCAGGGTGAAGTATAGCATCGATGAAACATACAACTTTCCTCTAGTTCTTTAATGCTTCCTCCCCCACCCCTCTCCACTCTCTTGACTCCAATTCTACCTTACAAATCTGGCTAGCCCAGAACATGTGCACTCATACAGATAAGAGCTGGAAACACAGGGAATCCAGGACAAATAAACCCCTCAGGACAAAGAGAGAGGCTATACCAGGAGGGTAAGGGGAAGGTAGGGGGAGAAAGGTGGAACCGATCACAATGATCAACATATAACCCCCTCCCAGTGGGACAGACAACAGAAAAGTGGGTGAAGGGAGACATTGGTCAGTGTAAGACATGAAAAAAATATATAAATTATCAAGGGTTCATGAAGAAGAGAGGATGGGGAGGGGAGAAAATGAGCTGATATCAAGGGCTCAAGTAGAAAGGAAATGTTTTGAAAATAATGGCAACATATGTATAAATGTGCTTGACACCATGGATGGGTGCATGGATTGTGACAAGAGTTGTACAAGCCCCCAATAAAATGATTTTAAAAAAGAGTTACAGTCCCAAGGGCTCAAATAGAAAGTAAATATTTAGAAAATGATGATGGCAACATATGTACAAATATGCTTGATACAGTTAATGTATGGAATGTTATGAGAGCTTTAAGAGCCCTCAATAAAATGATTTTTGAAAAAGAGCTGTATGAGCCCCCAATAAAACGATTAAAAAATAATAATACCCACTTGCTCCTCCAAAGAACTTTCCAAAGCTGGTGCTGGGCTTTCTGGTCTACTGCAGAGCTTTGTTATTTCAGCTATCCATCTCTGAGAATGAGGTAGGATTAACTGCACTCGCCTCTCTCAAGCTGAGCACTGTGACCTTAATATAGCCCTGTAAGTGAAATTCAAATGGGAGTAACTCCTAGCAGCTTGTTGGGGTACACTGAGCATGTTTCTCCGGACCTTCTCAGAATTTGGAAGGAATGAGCAATTAGTGACAAGGACAAAGTCTCAACTTATTTAAGGTTCTCTCTGTGTCTCTGCAGGGTCAGCAGCTTCTGAAGGCCAGAAGGAACTGATTGGTGCCATTGGTGGGTCTGTGACTTTCCCTCTAAACCTCTCAGTAGTAAATGTTGGCAGCATTGTCTGGATCTTCAACTCAACTCTCGTGACCTTCCAGCCACCAAAGCCAGAAAAGCCACCCATGATTATAGTGACCCAAAGTCATAAAGAGGAAAGAGTGAGCTTCCGAAATGGAGAGTGCTCCCTGACACTCAGCAAGCTGCAGAAGAGTGACTCCGGTACCTACCGTGTGGAAGTACACAGCACAGTGAAACGGTTCTTCACTCAGGAGTATGTGCTGCGTGTTTATGGTGAGCAGAATTTGTCAAGAATGTGGAAGAGGGGATTCCTAAGGTTCATTAGTGGTATGACAGGGGAGGTTGTGAATGACATAGCTATAGCTGACTCCTGAGGTCCCTTCTACTCAAATATTCTATGATAGGTAGTGTGGGGCAGCAGTGAGTCAAACGGCAAATAACAATCACATCGTCCTAGGTCAAATGCTGACCCCTTACTCACTAGCCCCTTAAACACCCTACACAAATACTTAACCTCAATATTCCTATCTGTAATGGGGAGGAAAGTGATACCTAAGTTTAGCCTAAATGTCAATCACACCCCTTCCCTTACGGATTCCAACCAATTGAGAAGCAATCACACGAACCAAAAGATAAAAACAGCGACTTTATTTCTGGTAAATGTAAACAGAAGAAACACTTTCCTCTGTGTCTAAGTCAAGTAACACACCCAAGGAAATTTACTTACCAAGACAAATAATAAATAACTCTGTCTGCTACAAGAGGAATGGCTGCCACACCTTCATCGAACCCTACTGTCACAGACACCAGGAGGTGGTCCCCCAGCCATACTGGTAGAAGGCAGGCCAGGCGTCTTCAGCCAGGTGTGTTTTCCATAGAAATACAATTTAAGGGAGAAGACCTGAATTCTTCAGGCAAGCTAGCCTGGTATGTTAGACAGGGTTCTCTAGAGAAACAAAACCAGGGCACTTATGATTTGATATATTTATATAGATATATACAACATAAGAAATAAACAGTTAATTAGTCTATAGAGCAGTACAAATGGCTCAGTGAAACTCACTTCTGTGAGACAGCTAATACATTGGCAGTCCTTCAAGTCTTGAGGGCCACTGGGTGCAAGTCAAGGAAGCAGAGAGGTGAGTCCTCTGCAAAGCAATTGGGGGAATCTGGCCACAGGCAGCCAACAGCAAGGCAGGTCACCAACAGTCAACCAGGTGGCAGGGTCTGACAGTCCCCAGCTCAAGCAATGTATACTCCAGTAGCGTGGCAAAGCAGGTCTTGAAGGAACCTCAAACTATAGCAACACAGTCGATGGGTTAGATATCCCCCAGTCAGTGTAGCTTGCAAGTTGACGCAGAGAACCAGCTAAGGCAGTCGCACACTGGTCTGATTATCAAAGAGCAAGAGACAAGAAAGGCAAGGCTCACCGAGCCATTTATCTCTCTGTCCTTCAATTAATCCCACATATGTTCATTGGCCATGTGGGCACAATAAACCAACCTATCACACCTAGGAAGGAAGAAAAGGGCAAACCCCATGGGATCCATTTGCCTTTAACAACTCAAACTGTAGAGGAAGGTAGATGATGAATATCTGCTTCCCAGTCTCTCACTAATTAATTAACCAGCTGCTTGTCCTCTGAGGGGAAGGCGTGTGCATCAGGTAGAGATGGAGACCAGAAGTGTTACTCCCGCTTCCTCCCGGAGAGTAACATCAAATCTCTCGAAGGAAGCTCACGAACAGGCTATCCCATAGCTAAATTTGGCCCGTTTTGATATTCGCACAAATCAGACCCTATTGTTCCACCTCTTTTGTGTTTGGCTGATGAGTATGCCTGCGAGAGTCACGCGCAATGGAGCAGTTATTTGTTCTTTTTACCAATTATGTAGAGATCTCCATTCCTCCCTCCCTCCTGTCCTTCCTCGCCCCCTCCTTTCCCCACTCCCTCCTTCTCTCCCTTCCTCTCTTCCTCTCCTTCCCTGCATCCCTTTCTTGCTTCCTCTCCTCCTCCCTTTTTCACTCCCTCTTCCCTTCTGCCCTCAACTCTGCACTGCTTTCAGGCAGACTGGGCTGGGCACTGGCCACGCGGGGCTTGGTCGGACCCAGACACTGAGGAGACAGTCTGCAAGCCCTCCCTGGTGCTGGGAGGTGAACGCATGGTAAAAGGGAAGAGTGGGTTAGGCCCTCCTCTGTAGTCAGGCTGCTCACTGCCTGTTTGCTAGTGCTTCCATCTGTCCGTCTGTCCATGTACCCACCTACCCTGCACCAAGGACCCACCTCGAGGCCAGCAGGCTGTGACAGGTGGTGGGGAATCCTCCAAAAAATGAACAGAATGTGTGCAGTTAGTCCAGCACGTGGTGTTTTGTTATATTTCATAACTGGCAACTGGGTTCCATCATTATCAGAATTATTATTACCAGAATTATAGAATCATGGGCAAGCCGACTTGGATGTTCTCTTTCCCAGATAATCATGAGAATTCTGCCCTGATAGGCTGCTTCCTCCCTCCTCTGGAATGCTCCCCAGGAAATCCAGGTTCAGGAGGCCCAGGGAGGGATCATTCAGAGCACGGGCTCTACGCAGAGTTTCCAGCCCTGATGGTCTGTGTCTCTTTCACAGAACACCTTTCAAAGCCCAAAGTGACCATGGGTCTGGAGAACACAAAGAATGGGACCTGCACGGTCAATCTCACATGCTCCCTGGAACAGCAAGGCGAGGATGTGACTTACAGCTGGAAGTCCTTGGGGAAGGCAGCCAATGAGTCCCATGTTGGCGCCATCTTCCCCCTTTCCTGGAGACTGGGGGAAAGGAACATGACCTTCATCTGCGAAGCCACGAACCCTGTCAGCAGTAACATCTCACACCCTGTCTCGTCCTGGAAGCTTTGTGAAGGTGCGGCTCTTCCTTTGCTTCAGGAGCCTTCTGGTCCTGGTCCCCACGGGAACAATCCTTGTTCAAAGACTGAAAGCCCTCAGAAAGTCGCTGGGCGGGGAGGAAGGTGGTGGTTACTTCAACATCCAGGCTACTTAGAGTTTCCTAACACTCTTCCTTTTCCTGTGCCCTTCCTGCTCTCTCTTTAAAGGTGCTGCCGAGGGCTCCGGTGTCCCCACGACTCTCCTGTACTACCTGTTGATGTTCGTGCTCTGTATACTGATTCTAGGACTCCTTTTAATGATACAGAGAATGAGAAGAAAAGGTTTGAACTCCCCTAAGTTGGACCATGCGCTATTCTTGCCCTTTTGTATTTGAAGAGCACACGCCAACCTGTGTGCCAGGTTTGGTATTGGCACTGAGGAAATAGAGCTGAAGGAGTCATAATCTCTTACCACAAGGCCAACACAGTCAGCCTTCACCCTTAGTTCCAGAGAAGAGAGTGCTTGAGTCCATTAACGTCACTCTTGAGGTCAACTCCTAGTGCATGGCTGCGCCTTTCCCTCCTCTGGAGCACCAGGTTCTGACCCAGCCAGGACTGTTCCAGTGACAGGGCTGGCCTCCAACTCTGAGCTCCCCACAGACCAGCACCTTCCACTCTCTTCCATCTAGCCAATGCTGACTCATAGCGAACCCCTGCGGGTTTCTGAGACTATAATTGTTCACGACAGTAAAACATCTGTCTTTCTCCCATGGAGCTGCTAGGAATTTTGAACTCCCAACCATGAGGATTGCAGCCCAAGGCTTAACCACTACACCAGGGCTCCACCTTCCACTAGTCCTTCCTAATTGCTTCCCTGTCAGAGGCCCCATCCAGTCCTCTTCAGTGGCTCAATCCCAGATTTTTCTCTTAACTTCCCATCTCAGGCTGGGCACAGCCTTCCTGGAGATGCCCTAAATGGCCAAAGAGTGGCTCGATCCTTCCCTCTCCTCCATGCCATGGTCTGTGTCTCCCCACCCTGCTGTTCTGGTTGCTCAGGCTCCAGCTGCACAAAGTGGGCCTTGAAAAGACTCCTAAACAGAAGTCTTGTGTGGTATGCACATGTTGAGATTACCCCTCTTTCTCAGGAGCCTTCGGGAAGCATTTCTAACCGTCTTTGCCTCCCACTTTGGCTGCCTCGATCCGATTGAGAGCAGGAAGTGAGTGAGGAAGGTGACCAGTTTATCCCGGTTTGTCTGGGTCTTTCCTGGCTTTAGCCCTGACACTTCTGTGGGATGAAAAACCCTTCATTTTCAGGAAAATTGGGGTGGTTGGTCCCCCTCAGTGATTGGATGGGGTGGCGGGTGCCTGGGGGTGATGAGTGGTCTGAGAGACTAATTCTGACTCTCCAATTGGCTTCAGTGATTGCTGAAAAAATAAAGGGAATCGAAATACATCAAGACATTCCCACCATCTGCTCCCATTTGGAAGATGCGCTGTATGACAAGATCACTTACCCCAGTGTGAGTTCTTTCTCATCTCTCACCGGTCTCTTTCTTCTCTCCAACGTTCTCCTGGTTCTGCTTGGGGTGGCCACATGAGCTTAGGCAGCATGAGGGTAGGGAGGGGCAAAAGGAGCCCTTGAAGCCCTATGCACCCATGCCTCCCCCCAGCCTGTATGAATTCTTTCTTGTGCAGGAACTGGAGCTATATCTCCAGAGCACCTGGTTCTAACCCAACCAGTACCACTCCCACATGCTCCATAGAGCCATCCTCTCTAACCCACGGTCCACACCAGCCCCTTCAACAGCCAGTCCTCGTGCAGTGGGATGGGACAGTGGGTAGAGAAGGGTGGCTCTGACCTTTTGTTGGAGTCCTTGTAGCCTGGAGATGCCTCTCTCCACTAAGGGGACTCCATGAGTCATCTGGCTTTATTGCGCCCACACTGAAGGCTGTCTAAGTGTAGGGCATGGAGCTGACGTGAATGAACACAAACGTCATTCAAAGGAAACTCTATGAAAGAACATCTTATGAGTAAAGCATTAACAAGATGCAAATTGGGCGAACTTCGGAAGCCTCCCCAGGAGCAATCATCACAGTCCAGGCTGCACTAGCTCTGGAGAGGTCACAGGAATCGTTCCTACATTGGCCCTTTTAATAAAGGAATAGAAATACTTTGATACCTCAAAACCCTAATGTTACTTCAGCCTTCAGTGCCTCCTCCTCAGATCGCGGAGGAGACACTCTGTTTCCTCTTTGAAGCTGCAAGTGTTCCTGAGAGCGCTGTCTTTCTTCTCTTTCTCTGTGCCCCGCTCAGGCCAGTGCAGTCACTTTATCACCATCCCCCCACCCCCACCCCCCTTGCTCAGGAACATCCCCAGGAAGCCACAGGACTCTCCTAGAAGCCCAGGGATAAACTTAACTGACGTGGCATCTTATTCTCCACGCAGGGAGGGGTTTTTCCCTATTGTTTTTGTTTGGCTTTCATTTTTGTTTTGTTCTGTAGTCACGTTTACTGAGTGGCTTCGAGTTGCCTTTTGAATGAGGGAAATTTTTATTTGCAACATTGACATTACTACATAGGATTATGCGCTTTTCAGTAAACCAGTTGCCATCACCCTGGTTCCTGGCAACACCATGTGTGTCAGAGGACAACTCAGTAGGTCACCACGTCTTTCTTCTGAGGGACCTCTGGCTGGAATCCGACAAGTAACCTTGTGGTTGGTGGCCCAGCCCTTGAACCACTTGCTTCAACCCAGGGACTGCCAAGCTAGTTTACGACACACAAGCCAAACTCACTGCCATCGGTGGGTGCTGACGCAGAGCGACCCCAGAGAACAGGGTCGAACCCCACTGCGGGTTTCTGGTACTGTAACTGCTATGGGAGTAGAAAGCCCTCTCTTTCTCCCTCAGAACAGCTGGTGGTTTTGAATCACTGACTATGCAGTTAGCAACCCAATGAGTAACCCCTAGAGGCTTGTAACTAATGGGACTTCAGTATTTTGTTTGAATTCATTTAGAGCATAGATTTAGTCTTTCAACTGCTTCATGGATGGGAAAAATGATCATAGAAGTCACCGGCAGGAGCATGGCCCACCACCGGACCGAATCCAGTTCCAAACCTTCTCTGTCTCCCTCCACTTTTGCTTTCCCCTCTCTGGTCTATGCGACTCCAGAGTGGGTGATTATTTCTTTTGTTTGTTTTTTAATAGAAAGCTACCCCAGAGGAAGATCTAATACATACACTTTATTCCGTTGTGCACATTCCAAAAAAGGTAAGACACTTTATAGCTGAACTTTGTCTTAGTTGTTCCATCCCTTTCCTGATGCACGCTCAGGTTAAAACGTCTTAGACCCCAAACCAAACCAAATTCACTGCCACCGAGTTGATGCTGCCTCGTAATGACTAGGTCAGGATAGAATTGCCCCTGTGAGTATCCGAGACAGTGACTCTTTTTGGGAGTAGAAAGCTCTGTCTTTCTCCCACAGAGTGGCTAGTGGTTTCAAACTGTAGATCTTGGGATCGCAGCCCGACTGGTAACCACTACACCATGACTCCAAGGCCTCCCATTTCCTGTACTAAGATACACCTGGGCACTCCTTCATTCCCTTGCTTAGGATTGCATCAAATTGGGGGGAATAGGAGAGAATTGTGTTTTAGGAGTCAACTAGGATAATTTTCAACAGATACCAATAAGAGAAGGTTCTAGGTAGAAATTATTAAAAAAAAACAACTTGGAAGATCCTGACTAAAGTCATGGATGAGAGACAAAGAGTTGCTGGGGAGGAGACTCCAGCTTGCCTCTGAGCCACCAATAAATGGAGAAGGAGGAGATTCCTACTTCTTTTCCTTCAGCTACTTGACATCTGATTGGCACTCTCCCCTCACTCACTCTACAAGCATGGAGAACTTTAAAGCCTATTCCACTACAAATTACGCTTGGCAGAAACAATGGTAGGTACCTCCATGTTGTCTCCTGTCCTAACCAGATCAGAAAAGATGGAGATCATTAAGTAATTTGCTTAATTACCAGAAAGAGCAATTCTGATGGCTTATTGGGAGGAAGTTCAGTTCCTCCACGGCAAATTGGCAACACTAGGAGGAAGTATTAAACAGTTGAAGCAAGCACAGTGTGTGTGTGTAGTGGGTAGGGGAGAAGAGGGGGAAGAGGGACAGGCCGGCAGTTGGTTTGGGAAACCTTAGAAATGAAGTGGCTTGGGTGGCAGGATCCCACGGGAGATCCATGCCCCATAGTCTCCAGTGCTACTTACCTTCCAACAGGTGGACAACCCCCCCTCACCACCCATGACTGCAGACACACCAGGGCTGTTTGCCTATGAGAATATCATCTAACTCTTCTCACATCTCATCCCAAAGCAAGCTAGCAAGCAAAAGAATTCACCGACTTGACCAGAAACATCAAGGAAGACGTGGTGGCGTGAAATTTCTTAATACAGCTCTTCTATCCATGTCTCTGTAACTCCCAGCAAATGGTTTGGTGGACTATGCAAATAGGGCGTTTGTGACACCGATATAAGGAATGGGTCAATTTTCATGACCACCCCGCTGGCTAGAAAGGATGAGCTATCTTTGAAGCAAGAGCAGAGACAGCAAGCCCAGGACCACGGAGAAAGCACGTCCAAGATCTATCTGCAGCGCAGACACCAAGATGCACCTGAAACTGTGGCACGGGGAAGGGGGAAACTGAGCCTGAGACACATTTTTTAATCTAGAATGGAAGACTGAGAGTGGAGAATGGTATTTACAAACCAAACTTTAAAGACAGCTCTTTCAACTCAGCCAGTGCATCTCAGGTGCAGCCAGTGCTTGCCTATCCGGGAGGTTTGTTTTCTTTGGTTGTTTGATTATTTGTTTGTTTGGTTGGTTGCTTTGCTTGTTTTTTTGTTTGTTTGAAACAAGTCAGTTTCAATTTTACTTCTCCTCCTTTTATAGCCACTCAAACCAGGGGCTGATGGGTAAAGAATCTGGAGGTTTTTAAGGTTGTCACCCTTTTATGTTTTAAAATTTTTTAAATTTTATTTATTTTGTCACTATTTCCCCCTTTTATTTGTGGGATAAAAGCATACAAACAAAAAGATAGTGTGTCTCAGTCACAACACCCACCCCACCCATCCCCGGTGTGTGATTCTTCCCTCTTTTCTTTTTATTTTTCCCACCCACTCTCCCTCCTTATTCTCCTGTCCTTAGCTTCTCCCTCCCACCCCTGCCCTGGGCCGCATCATAGTCTTCAGTCTTTTCCTTTGGTATAAATCCATTTTTTTCTTTATAATAATGGTGTCATAAAATATTTCTCTTTCTGAGACTGACTAACTTTGCAGAGCATAATGTCCTACAATGTTGTCCCTGTCATTAGCTGTTTAACATACTTCTCATTGTTTTATACGGGTGTATAATATTCCAATGTTTATATATACCAAATGAAGTTTTTGATTATTTATCCATTTTCCTCCACAGACCAGGCTTTTGTTTGTTTCCGTCTTTTTGCTAATATAGAAATTGCTCACAATAGACATAACTGTGCATATATCTGTTCTTGTTTCGGGCTCCATTTCCTTAGGGCATATTACAAGTTGAGAGATTGCAGGGTCATAGGGTAATGCTGTAGTTGCATTTGCTTAAGGAAGTGCTAAACTGTTTTCCATAGTGGTTGTACAGTTCCGCAACACCACTTGCAAAGTATGAGTGTCCCAACCTCTCCACATCCTCTCCAGCATTTATTATTTTCTGGTTTTTGCTTTGTTTTGTTTTGATTTAATTTTGCTAAGAATGTCAGTGTGAAGTGGTATCTCGTCATTGTTTACTTTGTATTTCTCCTATAGCTAATGAACACAAGCATTTCTTATCTGACTGTTGGACACCTGGATGTCATCTGTAGTCATTGCCTATTCATGTCTTGTGCCCATTTTTATTATTGAGTCAGTTGTGTGTTATAGTTTTCTATAGATTTTTGAAATTAGCCCTTTATCTGGAATATTATTCCCAAACATGTTTTTCTTATCAGTGTGTCCTCTTTTTACTCTTTTGATGAAGTCTTTAAAAAGATTTTTTTTATGAAATCTTTTAATATGCGTGCATGTCATATTTTTCAGAAAGTCCCAGTCCTCTATTTAGTCTTCTGTAGTATTGATGTATCGACACCTTGTATTAGGGCCATTAAGTTTGTCCCTTTTTATCATTTATGATCTTTATGGTGGTAGCACCTCTATTTTGGTCTTTGGTCCATATTGTGCTTGTTTTAGTGCATTGTGTGAGATATGGGTCCTGTTTCATTCTTTTGCAGATGGAGATCCAATTTTCCCAGCACCATATATAAAAAAAGGCTATCTCTTCCCCACTTACTGTATTGTAGTCCTTTGGCAAAAATCAGCTGTCTGTAGGTGCTTGGCTGTATTTATGGGTTCTCTGTTCTAATCCACTGTCATACCAATATTAAGCTATTTTTGGTTGCCATAGTTATATAATAGGTTTTAAAATCAGGAAGTGAATGATCTAATTTATTTTTAGTTAATATTTATTTATTTTATTAAAAGATCATTTTATTGGGGACTCTTACAGCTCTTATAGCAATCCACATATCAATTGTATCAAGCATATTTGTACATATGTTGCCATCATATGTACACTTCTTTCTATTGAGCCCTTGGTATCAACTCCTCTTTCCCCTCCTCAATCCTCATGACCCCTTAATAAATTATAAATTATTATTATTTTTATATCTTACACTGACCGTTGTCTCCCTTCCCCCACGGTTTCTGTTGTTCATCCCCCTGGAGGGTGTGTGTGTGGTTATGAACAGATCATTGTGATTGGTTCCCCCTTATTTGTTTGTTTGTTGTTGTTTTCTTTTGTTTTTTAGTAGTGTTTTGTTTACCCTGTTTCTTTCCTTTCCACATAAAGTTGGTGATTAGTTTTTTCATTTCCTTGAAGAATTGTATGGGGACTTGGGTCATAATTGCATGAGATTTATAGAGTGTTTCAGTAATATTCAGTAATATTGAATAATTTTACTATATTAAGTCTTCCTATCCATGATCATGGAATATTCCTTCATTTGTGTATGTCTCTTTGTTTCTTGTAAATGTGTTTTAAAGTTTTCTTTGTATAAGTCTTTTGTTTCTCTGGTTAAATTTATTCCTAGGTATCTATCTTTGCAGTAGTTCTTGTAACTGATTTTTCCATTTCAATTTTCCTTTTTCGAATCCTCTTCTTTAATATAGAAGAATCAAATTAATTTTTGCATGTTGATCTTATAGCTTACCAAGTTGCCAATTTTTTTTCCAAATAGTTTTTTAATTGAACCTTGGGGGCTTCTATGTATAGGATTATGTCACCTGAAAATAAAAAGAGTTTTATTTCTTCCATGCAAATTTGGATGCCTTTAATATATTTTGGGGTCTGAGGTAGTTAGTTTATTGTGCCAACCTGGCCAATAAACACATGTGGGGTTAATTGAAGGGCAGAGGGATAAATGGCTCGGTGAGCCTCACCTTTCTAGTTCTCGGGTCTCTTGCTTTGTGATGGTTGGACCAGGGTGCAGCTGCCTTAGCAGTTCCCTGCTTCAACTGGCAAGGCTCACTTCCTGCAAGACATCCCTGAGGAGAAGTCACATGGATCTACCCCAATGCAGCCCTGGGTGCTGGAGCACCGGTGTGAAGACCCCTGCCAGCACTGAGATGTTTACACATTCAATGACTCAGCTTTCCTCCTGCAGTCGGCATCATTGCCTCTGTTGTGTGAGATGGAGGACTTTGTGGACTGGTGTTGGGTTAATGGGTTAATGTTGGACTTGTGGGCTTGGGCAGCACTGGGTTGGGATGTTTTCTCGATGCACACTTAACCTTTATATAAAACTCTCTCTTATACATGTTTCTGTGGATTTGTTTCTCTAAAGTACCCAGACTAACACAGTGTCTTATAACTCTGGTAACGACTTCCAGTGCTTGTCAATACAGGTTTGTGTGTTGCTGTAATGTTGAAGTAGGTTCAGCAGTTTTCAAACTAAGTTCAGACGAGGAAGAAAGACCAGTGATCTACTTAAAAGTCAACCAATGAACACTTATGGATCACAACAGTCTGATCCACAACCAATCATGAGGTTTTTGCAGGAACCACCTACGACCATCAAATTGAATTCAATGTATAGTGACCTTATATACCATTTCTGAGGTTGTAAGTCTTAATAGAAGCAAATAGCCTCACCTTTCTCCAGTGGAGCAGTTGGTGGGTGTGAACCACTTACTTTGCAGATAGCAGTTCAATGCTTACCCAATAGTGCCACCAGACCAGGCAGTGTTTGATTCTCTTGTGTGTGAGGTCACATGATTGCAGAGTTGTTGAAATAGCAGCTAACAAGAACAAATCAACAGAATGCTGGTGAGATCTACATTGATGCAACCTCTACAATGACACTGTCCCCCAGTGCAGGCCACTGTGCCCTTCTCCATCCTGCAGTCTACAGCCTTTAAGCAGCAGTGTGAACCTGAATTCACACCTAATATTTGGTATTCCACACTGAGATTGCTGCTTCTGTGGCAGAGGCATGGGTATTTGCCCGATTCTACTGGAGAATATACATCATTCAGGTTCCACTAGCATTTTGTACTTTCTTGAATTTCTCCACCACAGACAAGTCTGACACCCATACCTTCCAGACCCGTGGGGCTTTCATGTACATTTTTTCCATAGTTATTTAAATGGCTCCTTTGAGAAAAGCTGATCTAGGCTACATGTGTCTGGTTTATAGATGCTGAGATAGAGGCCCAGCAGAACTTAATTTGCCCGCAATTGCATATTTCAGTGTGGCAGATCCAAGGATAATAGAAGCAATGCTTACTCCACTGCCCACCATCCACTGCAGCGCACAGGGAAAACAGGGCCCAAAGTTTAAGCAGAGTGGATCCTCTCTCTCCACAGAGGAAAGGACCTAGCTCTAAAGACAGACAAGTCTGGGTCTAAATCCTCTTACCAGCTGAGTGACCCTGGCTAACAATTTGGGCTTTGTGAGCCTCTTTTCTGATCTCTAAAACCTTCATAAGATGTGTGATGTGGGGATGAAATGAAACAAAGTAAAGGCATTTGGCACATAGTAATGGATTCGTACGTGGTGCAGGATGCTTAGGGAAGGAGATAGTTAATAAAAAAGGGGTTATAACTTCTCAAAAGTCATCCTAGTATTGATAAAAGACAAAAGCACTGACATAGAGAATCAGCCCTTGATGGAGAGTCATCTGGCTAGGAAGAAGAAAGAGTGGGATTTCATGTCCCTCCCAAGTGTTGAAAGAGCTGAAAGAAAAAAAAAACAACACCAAACTTATTACGCACGAAGAAGATCAAGAAACCCTCTCCTTTCCAAAAGGGACCAGTAAGATTTATGTA